AACAAAGGAAACAAAATCGTGATTGGAAATTGGACAAGCTGAGATGTTGCATTCCACGCCGGGTGACAACAACTCCCTTGAAACCAAAAACTAGTCTAATCTACTCCCGATAGAGAAGGACGAATTGAACCACGTAAATTCCCTTGAGCCGGGATGCAAATTGCACCAAACATCACCAAGAGCAAAATCAGTTTTCAACGACTCGTATTCTTTGTGAATAGAAATGTTTCCACCAAATTTATCGAGAACATTATCGTAGCAATTATAGTCCCCTCCGATGATGATTGCAGCGGAAGGAATAAAAAATTCGTGGAGAGAATCAAAGAAAATCTTTCGCTCTGCAAGATTAGTGGGAGCGTAAATATTAACCAAATTCACATCTACACCGTTGCTCCTGATCAAAATACTGACAATACGACCGTGTGAGTCTTTTTTCCAAGAGACAATCTCATCTGAACATTTGACGAAATTAAAGTGACCACACCACCCTGTCTACCAGAAGCTGGAGACCAAAAACAACGGCTCAGCCATCTGCGAGACAGGGAGTTAATAGTGGATTCAGAATTGACTAAAGTTTCTTGAACAAAACAAACATCACAGTTGGAAGACTCGATCGCATCGAACAAAAAATTATGAGTCAGGGGGTTAGCAAGGCCCCTTGCATTAACAGTTAAAAGCTTAAAAAGAAAACTCTTGGAAAAAAAGACTCGCGCATGAAAACTAAACTCACTTATGAGCAGGTTTTTTCTTTCCTTTCTTTGTGCGCTTCGGGGACGCATCCGCCGATTTCCTCTTCAGGTCCATGGTGACGTCCATACCGTTTTCCAAGGAGTCGGGCAGCGATGAAGAAGGATCGGCAACGGGTTCAGAAGGAAGAGAAGGCGTTGGTTTTGCAGAAAGAGGTGAAGAAGAACGTCTAGAAGCGGCCGAGAGAGAGTCAGAAAGAAGAGCAGGAATACGATGTCGCGGTGGGTCGGGCACAGATTGAACAGATTTTACAAGGCCATCAGTATTAAGAACCGGAGAATCGGGAGAAGAAACCAAAGGCGAATCGCTAGAGTCAGATAGAACATCATCAGGAGGAGAAGAAGTATCGTCGACAGGCACATCAGCGGGGGAAGGAGTTTCAGAAATTAGAGGGGAAGCGGGAACAGATAATCTGCGCCGCGACCATAAGAGCAATCGCTCAAACCATCGTCGTCGTCAGATTCCACCGCGACATTGTCCTGCTCGTCGGTTGGAGAGACCGTAGGAGAGAACCACGAGTATATACAATTGATCCCCAGATGACCTTCCTCCTTACACAGACAGCACAAAACAGGACAAGGACAATCATGCGCCTCGTGGCGGAGACCCTCACAATTAAAGGACACACGGTTAGGACAAACATTACTAAAGTGGCCAGGAAGATTACACTTACGACACTTAGGTACTTGAGAACTATGTTTTACAAAGACTTGAAATTTACCAAACCGGAGGAAGCTGGGGATCGGTTTCGAAATCCTGACCCGGTAATGACGGAGGCCATTATAAATATTGGGAGCCAACGAATGCTTACTTCGACGGTAATGGAGGACCTCGCAATATGGCGAGAGGCGCTTGATTATGGCCAGATCGGACAGCTCGAAGGGAGCGTCGTAAATCATTAGGAAGGTCAACGGTTTGTCGACGTCTTGCAAAGCAAAATGCTCGGCGTCGACCTGCAGTGAGTTCAGTCGAAGGAATTTCTTCGCTGAAATGGACTTGAATGTGACGGTGACCTCCCCAATCATCTTTCTTTGCAAGCATGCAATTTCCGTTGTGTCAATTTCAGCATTCTCCAAAGCTTCGAAGACCGACTTGGCTGTTGTCATTTTGCTCAGCGTAAAAAAGACAGTTCTTGGCCGCTGTGGCATTACATTCTCGGAGGACCTAGCTCTCTCTTGCCGTGACGGGTACTCGAAGGAAACAGTTCTCGCCGCCCGTGAGGCGTACGAGTCTTCATTGACAACATGGCGGTCTTCAACATTCTCTGCATTCGTTTCGCCAAATACCTGGGCCGTGAGAGAAAACATTTTGTAATTCGAGCTCTAAGTCAACAGAATCATGATCTGAGAAAATACATGGGCGAATGTCACACAATTTTACGTTCGAAAATAATTCCTGTGAAATGAAAAATTTATCTAATCTACTACCGATGGTTTTTGCAGCATTAAACCAAGTACATTGAATTTGCCTGTCATGTGTCTTTCGCCAAACATCGAGCAAACGATGGGATTTTCGCAGATCTTGCAGATCGGAGGAAATTGTTAAATTCCCTCCAAATTTGTCACGTTCACTTTCAAAACAATTAAAATCGCCTGCAATAACTTTAACTGAACCAGGAAACATATATTCATGCAGAGGCTCATAGAAGCTTTTCCTTTCTCTCAGGTTCGTTGGAGCATACACATTAATAAAATTATATCGCAAAGATCCTAAGCACGCTAGGAGGCTAATAATTCTACCAGAAGAATCCTTTTTCCATTGTTTAATTTCAAAATCAGTTTTTTCAGCAACTAAAACAGCTACTCCGCCTTGTTTACCTAAGGCGGGAGACCAAAAACTTTTGCCGGGCCATGTGTTTCTCAGGTCGGCGATAACAGTGTCGCGAGAAGCAAGTGTTTCTTGCAGAAAAATAAAATCTGAGCGGGTTCCATCACAATAATCAAAAACATCTTTCTGTTTGGCGCCATCGCCAAAACCACAAACATTCACAGTAGTCAATTTAGCGCAGAATGTCAATGTTCAAAAGGAAATATACTGGTAGAAATCACAAATAATAGTAAAGCGGTTAAATACATTCACTTACGGTCCTTATGTCTCTTTTTATTCGAACGGGAACGCTTCGGTAAAGGTTCTCCAGAGTTCGTTTTATCCAAATTATTTTTAACGCCAGTGCCAGTAACAAGAACAGGTTTCGTGGGAATACGTCCAAGGATTATTGTCTCGGTGGGTTTTGCAGGTTGTTTTCATTGAGCTGGAGTTAGTGAATACGGTGTTTCTTCAGTTGAAGTCGACAGGAACAGTTCGGCAGAATCAGTAGGTTCGTTTGAAACGGTATCGTCGCTTTTAGGGGCGTCCATGATTTGTCTTGTGTGTCGGAGTTGTTGTCCTCTGCGTCGGGTTGTCCTTTAAGTAGTCCATCACATTCTTCAGTCATAGGTATTTCTTCAGGATCGTCAGTAGCGGTTTTTTCAGGAGTTTCTTCAGTCACAGATTCACTTTCAGGGTCGCTCGTTTCTCTGGTATCTCTGGCCCATGAAAATTGACATGCTCTCGCTTTGTGATCGGTGGATTTGCAAAGGTTTCACATCGGGGGTTCGGGGCAGTCAGAGGCAAGATGTCCAAGTTGTTCGCAGTTGTAACACACAATATTATGACAGGCATTGGCGTAGTGGCTGGTCTGATTACAGTGGCGACAGGTACAGGGTTGTCCTTCGTAACGCAGGTTCAGTTGTATTTTTCCAAAGCGCAGAAAATTCAGGATGGGATTCTTGATGCGCACACGATAATGCCTGACACCGTCTTGGATATGTTCGAAGCCAGGTTCACGAAAATAGCCACGGTGGTGGTGAAGAACGTCACAGTATTTGGTCAAACGATTGATGATGGTAGAATCAGGTAACTCGTACGGGCTGTCGAAAATTTGCAGATATGTAAGTGGGCGGTCAACATCTTGAAGGGCAAACGGTTGTCCTCGAATTTGGATCACATTTTTCTTCAGAAAGAGCTCACGCTGTTTGGCGTTCCGAAAGGTCAGTTGGATCTTGCCGTTCGATTGTCGCTGAATACAGGAAATTTGCTTCGGGTCTACATCAGAAAGTTTCAGTGCTTCAAAAACATCGGTCGCAGATAGACGAGTTCGCGGGTTGACAAACGCAGTGCACGGTCGCTGCGGTACTTCGTTCTCTTCGTCTACAAAATATGCCACGGGTTCTTCACGTTCTGGTCGGCCAGCATCAGCGTAACTCACATTTTTACGGGTAGAAACAGCAACATCAACAACAGATTCAAGGGACGAAAGCGCTGATGGCGCGGAATTTTTTTCACAACTTTGATCTTCACAAACTACATCTCGCACACCACTCGAGTGGGCGCTGGCCTCGGCCATCCTTTTAAAAACAATAACGAAGGGCGCCCGAAGGCTCCCGAGCTTTTCCGAAAACAAATTTGGCCAATCACCATTCACTGATCTTAGCCAAAAGGCCAAGAAGCGATAATAAGAACAGATTTTTTTTTTTTTTTTTTGAAAATATATAACTTTATTCACTTTTCCATTAACATTACTTCACAATCTTCGTGTTACTATATATCTCTTACCTCTAAATGTTCACTAAGTTACTACAGTATAGACTTTGTCGCTTCCTTGTCGTTACTTACTATGACTTAATTTAAACTTTGTCACTTCCGGGTAGAAGGAAATCTGGGTCACATCCGGTTTTGTTTCTGTTGATGTTGATGTTTCTAAGGTTTATTTATCACATTTGTCGTTTCGAAGGGTTCACTTTTTTTTTTTTTTTCCTTTTTAAACTTTGTTCTTCCAAATTTTGTTTCAAAAAAGGATTTCAAGTTTCTTTCCAGAGAGTTTACTAATATTGGGGTGTATCCAAGTCTCGTTGAACATTTTATCGGGGAGTCTCATATGATCAGCTCGCAAGCGGAGGGATATTTCATTTCGGACATATCTGACAATGGACCGCTCATCGTCGGTGCCATTGTGAAAAGTTGTTTTGTTACGAAAAAACCATATACTATACAACATCGTCTTAACTATGAAGTGAGCTAATCTATCGGATTTAGCATTAATGGAGGTCCACAAATAAAAGAAAACAGTCTTGACATTAGCGGAAAAAGGTGAACTCATGAGAGCTGAAAGGGTGGGGCTGAAAGCAGACCACACCCCTTTCGCTCTCTTACAATTAAGGAAACAGTGGTCAATCGTCTCTTTTCGATCACAATAAGCGCATTTGTCTGAATCTATATACCTCCACGAACGTAGGGAAGCTCGTACTTTTATACCTTTGAGGGTAATCAACCATGCAATATCGTTCTTGTAATTCTCTGTGAAAGTTTCTCTAACTGGAGACCAGTGGTCATCACTATCTAGGGTGGGGCCGATGTAGGCCCGCCAAAAGGGGGACAAAAGAGGCGAGGCCACTGTTTGACTCAAAAACTTCAAATAAATAGCTTTAGAGGTAAACTTAAAATTTTTGTCTCTTACTCGACTGTCTAAATCGTTCAATGCGCTCAAAACTAATTGATAAAATATCGTCGGTTGTTTTGCTGTGGTGCTAGAGTTATCTCGTAAGTGAGACCATTTACTCCTCAGTTAAGCTAAACGGGTTCCCAAAAAATATTTCAGCATATAGAAAACCTTAGCATTAGGCTCTTCAATTACAGATAAAGCAAAGGAAAGCTGGAGGGCTCTCGATTTGGTTTCGAAATCTACAATGCCCAATCCACCCTCTTTCACGGGGGCAGACAGGGTTTGTCGGCTAACTGTTTCAATTTTTGTGCCCCAAATATAGTGATAAACCAATTTCTTATATCGCAAAATCACCCACTGGGGGGCGGGCAATATTTTAGCTAAAAACCAAAATTTGCTAGCCCCCAGGGTATTGACGATCAAGGCCTTTCCTACAAGAGATAAATTCCTAGATTTCCAGAGGTTCAAATTTTTTTCCAATTTGGATAGTTTAGGCTGCCAATTTTCCTGTTCTACTGTACTCAAACCATTGCTAAAATAAACTCCTAGAATCTTCATTTTATTCACCCATGTGAGGCCCAAGGGCGTGTCAGTGCGGGTCCTCCACGCCCCCAGCCACATTGCTTCAGTCTTGTTAACATTCAATTTTGCTCCTGTGCCAAGTTCATATTTTCTGAGTAGCTGAAACAGTTTTTGTAGGGAGGAAACATCTTTCACGAAACAAGTGGAGTCATCAGCGTATTGTCCTATATTAAAATGTGTTCCTTTAGCTCCGGGGAGCAGGAAACCTTTAATTAAATTGTTCTCACGAATATTACAGGCTAACACTTCAGCGCACAAACTATACAATAGAGGTGACAAGGGATCACCTTGCCTGACTCCGCGCTCGAGGGGAATTTCATCAGTCAAAAAACCGTTGACGAAAACTTTCATTTTTGCGTTGCAGTACAAAGTGGAAATCCACCGCTGAAATACGGGACCAAAACCAAAACGTTTTAAAGTGTTTAGAAGGAAATTTCGGTCTACACGGTCAAAAGCTTTCTCTTGGTCGAGATTCAACAAAACTCCCGTTTCATCAGTAATGTTTACATAATCCAAAATGTCACGCAGCAGAGACAAATTTTCAAAAATGGTCCTGCCCGGAACCGAACAGGTTTGATCTTCATGAATTATAGAGGGCAAAACAATAGACAAACGGTTGGCCAAAGTTTTAGAACAAATTTTATAATCTACATTCAAAAGGGAAATAGGTCTCCAGTTTTTCAAATCTTTCGGGTCATCCTTTTTGAAAAGCATGCGAGTCACGCTTTCCTGCATTGACGGGCTGAAAGAACCGTTTTCAAGACTAAAATTAAATAAATCGACTAAATGGGGTGCAAGCAAATCACAAAACTTAATGTAAAACTCTAGGGGTAAGCCGTCGGAACCAGGAGTTTTGCCTTTCGATAGCCCGCGTATCGCCAAAGTGATTTCTCGAAGAGTCAGAGGTAAATCACATTTAGATTTCTCATCATCGGATAGAGAAACAGGAACGTTAGACATAAATTCATTCTGTATCTGTGGATCGATTTGTTCTGCAGAATACAATTTGCTATAAAAATTCCAATGAGCGTGTTCAATTTCTTGCTGTGTGTTGACTTCTGTACCGTTTAAATCCTAAAGGGACCTAATTGAATTTTTTGCAGCACGTGTTGACTCGAGTGAAAAGAAAAAGCGAGTTGGTTTTTCGCCTTCTTTGAAGAATTTCGCCCGACTCCGGATTAATACTTTTAATCTGACTTTCCAGTTCATCGATGAGTTTTGTCGCTGAAGTGTTGCCATTCACTAAAGATCTTTTCGCATTAATCAGACGATTTGTAGCTGTCACTTTCTCGGAATTTAACTTATGTTGTTTGTCTCTACCATATTTTTTCGCAGTATATTTAACGAAATCTTTTAAGAAATCTCACCACTCGTGAATGGAAGGAAAAGTTTCTCGAAGCTGAGCATGTTTGGAGATAATTCCTGAAATCATGATACAAAAATTTTCATCGTCAAGCAGATCCAAATTTAGTCGCCAAATACCTGGGCCGTGAGAGAAAACATTTTGTAATTCGAGCTCTAAGTCAACAGAATCATGATCTGAGAAAATACATGGGCGAATGTCACACAATTTTACGTTCGAAAATAATTCCTGTGAAATGAAAAATTTATCTAATCTACTACCGATGGTTTTTGCAGCATTAAACCAAGTACATTGAATTTGCCTGTCATGTGTCTTTCGCCAAACATCGAGCAAACGATGGGATTTTCGCAGATCTTGCAGATCAGAGGAAATTGTTAAATTCCCTCCAAATTTGTCACGTTCACTTTCAAAACAATTAAAATCGCCTGCAATAATTTTAACTGAACCGGGAAACATATATTCATGCAGAGTCTCGTAGAAGCTTTTCCTTTCTCTCGGGTTCGTTGGAGCATACACATTAATAAAATTATATCGCAAAGATCCTAAGCACGCTAGGAGGCTAATAATTCTACCAGAAGAATCCTTTTTCCGTTGTTTAATTTCAAAATCAGTTTTTTCAGCAACTAAAACAGCTACTCCGCCTTGTTTACCTAAGGCGGGAGACCAAAAACTTTTGCCGGGCCATGTGTTTCTCAGGTCGGCGATAACAGTGTCGCGAGAAACAAGTGTTTCTTGTAGAAAAATAAAATCCGAGCGGGTTCCATCACAATAATCAAAAACATCTTTCTGTTTGGCGCCGTCGCCAAAACCACGAACATTCAAAGTAGTCAATTTAGCGCGGAATGTCAATGTTCAAAAAGGGAATATACTGGTAGAAATCACAAATAACAATAAAGCGGTTAAATACTTTTACTTACGGTCCTTATGTCTCTTTTTATTCGAACGGGGACGCTTCAGATCTCCAATGCCAATGAAAACACCCAAAACCTTTATTTTAGCGGACGACCACTCAAGGGCGACCAGAGGGTCAGTGAAGACACACCAGCTCCCCAGCCAAAGACCCTTAGACCTAGCTTGATTTAGCTTCCACCCAGAGGCTCTTTCAAAAAAAGCATAGGTCGCAAACACTGCGTTGATAGCATCATCTGACGATACAATAAGAGATGTATCATCTGCATATTGTGAAATATGAGAGAGGAGGGAAGGCGGAATGCAAAGACCAGAAATGCAGGTGTTGCAGCAGATGTTGGCTGCAAGAACCTCAGACACAAGGAAGCACAACAGGGGGGACAGGGGACAACCCTGTCTCACCCCCCGTGAGAGATTGAAAAAAGGCGAGATATAGCCATTTACGTTCACACTGGACTGAACCCGACTCCAGATCCCAGGTAGGACAAATGGGTGATAGAGTTATCCCGCACCATCCTAACAACCCAAGAACCGGTATAAACTTTCATACCAGGCCAAGCTTCTTTATCTCCGTCTTGTTATCAGAATTAAGACCCTCAAAAGGGTACCAATAAGCAATAACAGTAGAAACAGGAGGAGGGGGGCAGGCTCCTGCTAGGGCAGTGCAATACCTGCCGAACTAACAGTCTAATCCAACCTAAGGCGGGGAGTGCAAAGCCTTAAGGTTGGGTTCACCGGACTGATCCCGGAAAGAAAGCTCATATTGAAGGTAATGCCCCTCCGTGTCATACCTGGAGCCTGATAGAGACAAAGAGGGGCGAAAAAGAATAGCACAACCAGAGGAATGCATGGAGCCCAGCAAACACACAACACCAAAACGAGAGGACAAATCAGATGCTTTGGTGGAGGAAGAGAAGCTGGAAATGTCTGGGGAGTCACTGCATTCTATGCCCCTCGACTCCTGGCTACTAAAATCACTAATCCCTACATTATCTTTATCTTTGACTACATTAATTTTAGTTATGTTTTCAATACTACTATTTTCTACTGTTATATTTTCATTAATGTCATTATTATCTTCTACAACGGTTACATTTTCTACTACTGGTACATTTTCAACACCATCCATACTCTCAACCACGGCAAGAAGGGAAACGCCAGATGGGCCAGGGGTTGCCTCAACCTCGGGCACAATGGGAGGCACTTCAGACGTAACATGACTATTTTTGGCCAACACATCCACAACATCCATACTATTAACAGGCTCGGTAGTTTCAGGGACACCAGAAGTACCAGGGGTCACCTCAACCTTGGCCGTAACAGGGGGAGCCACAATGGGCGGGAAAGACTCGGCATCCACCAAGGGGGTAGCGCTGGCCAGAAGAGGATCATACACGTTAATCATATTAAACAAACACTGGAGAGAACGATAGGACTTTAAAATACAGCGGGATAAAGGTGTTGCATCAGAGAACCACTCATTCACGATAATGCGCATATTGGCACCATTATTTAAGGTATTGATCCAAAAACAAAAAGATGGACCAAAACCGAAATGGGACAACAAATTTAACAAAAAGGTGCCATTAACACGATCAAAGGCTTTCTCTTCATCAAGGCTAATCAAAATGCCGGTTTCATTAATGCGATCGATATAATCTAAAACATCCCTAAGAATGTGTAAATTTGATGTAATTCTACATCTGGGCACAGAACAGGTTTGATCAGGATCAATGATGAATTCTAAAACTTGAGATAGGCGAAGAGCAAATTTTTTAATCGACATTCAGAAGAGAAATTGGTCACCGGTTTTTCAGGTTTCTATGATCACCTTTTCTTAAGATGACGCACGTGTTACTTGTCTTCATCAACTCACACATCTCCCCAGCATGATAACAAGCATTAAGGACCTGGCATAG